GGGGGGGGGCAGTGGGGAAGGAGCCCCGAGTGCCCTAGTATCACGAGCACCGCCGCCTGTTGCGGCAAAGCTACAGCAGCCTGGTGTGGAACCACCTGCTTTCCTTCTCGAAAGGCTGCTCGTGCCCCAGCGGCCACCATGCTCCGCACAAGGTTGGGCGGGGTCCCAGGGCGGCGGTGCCTAGGCCCTGTCCCTGGGGGGGAAGGTGGGAGAGCACAGCCCCTCCCCCACAGCTCTTGCACATGGGGGGGAGGGGGGGAAGGAGGGTTACCCAGGGCAAGTACCCTGCCCCCAGCCTTTGTGCACCGGCTGCGCACAGGGTGGGGTCCATTGGGCCATGGCCAAGAACTGTCCCAGGTGCAGGAGAGACCCCCCAGCAAGCAAAGCACGGTGGCAGGACTGGGATGAAGGAAGCATCTTGTGTCTGTTTCAGCTGGGCCCCCTCCAGGGGTTTGATCTCTGCAATTCCGGGGGGAGGGGGGCATTTCCCCTTGGCCTGTAGCTCTATCCTGCCCTGCTCCTGGATTTCCCAACTCCTGGGCCCCTGTGCAGCAGGGGCTGTGCTGTTCTACTGTCTGCCCAGCTCTGGAGTCCAAGTACTGCCCCTCCCACGGACTGTGAACATCCCCAATAAAAGGACAAGTCTCAATTCCATCTCCTCCAGCGCTGGGCGTGGGGGATGGCTGGGGCTCCTGGGCCTTATCTCTCCAGTGGGGCGCACTGCTGTCAGCCGGGGGGCTGCGATGGACAGCTCCCTTCCCCCGCTTAGGAAAAGGCAGCCGAGGCTCCAGGGCAGCAGTGGCTCAGAGAGCTCCCCTGTGCGGCTGTGTCTACACTGGGCCACTTATTCCGGAAAATCAGCCGCTTTTCCGGAATAAGCAGCGAGCTGTCTACACTGGCCCTTGAATTTCTGGAAAAGCAACGATGCTCTACTGTACAAAATCAGCCGCTATTCCGGAAAAACTATTCTGCTCCCGCTCTTCCGGAAAAGGGCCAGTGTAGACAGCCCAGTAGTCTTTTTTGGAAAAAAGCCCCGATCACGAAAATGGCGAGCGGGACTCTTTTCCGGAAAAGCGCATCTACATTGGCCACAGACGCTTTTCCGGAAAAAGGGCTTTTCCAGAAAAGCAGCCTGCCAATGTAGACGCTCCTTTTCCGGAAAAACTGAAAACGGAATAGTATTCCATTTTAAGCATTTCTGGAAATTCATGCCAGTGTAGACACAGCCTGCATGTTTCGGCCTAGTGCTACCAGGTGTGGGGGGAGAACAGACCTGTGCCTGGCACCTCCAGCACCCAGGCCCTTTCAGTCAGGCAGCAGGGCGGGGCTGCCCTTCCCAGGAGGCACCTTGGGGGTCCCTGCCCCACAGGGCTAGGGGCAGAACGGCCCGTTGCCCCCAGGGAGCTGCTGGCAGGGCTGCAAGCTCACACCACTGGGCGCTGCTTCTGCACCTGGGGGAACTACCAGCGGGCTCCCCTCCCCCCCACCACACCCCTTCTAGAGGGCAGGGTTGTGTCTTTTGGATTTGGTTCCCATTCTTGCCCCTGCCCTTGTATTTACTCTCTGGCTCTCTGCTGCTGTGCAAGGAAACCGAGTCTGCCTGCAGGCCCAGTTACTGGGCAGCCGGAGCCACGGCTCACCCCTGCCTCAGCCTGCCCGTGGGCACTGGTGCCTTTGACCAGGTCTCTGCAGTCCTGCACCGTCTCTAGTTGGGGTCCTGTCCCCTCAGGTGGGACCGTAGGGCGTGCCACATGGGCCCTCCCCTTTGGGGGAGCAGCTGAGCGCGTCTCCCCACAGCGCCCTGAAAAGCCTCCCCGTGTCCAGTGAGTCCCCCCGTCAAAGGCCAGTCCCGTGTCAGTGGAAGGCAGGGCCGGCAGCAATGGGAACAGGCCAGGAGAGTCAGTGTTGGCCTCTTTCCTTTGACCCGTTGGGCTGTTACTTGCTTCCAGTGACCAGACCTTTCTCTGTGCCCATTGGAGCTGGACCCTTCCTTGGGGTCGTCACTGAAATCAGCCGGGGCCTCTCCTCTGATCCCCAGGAGCTAGTGTAAGACATGCCACGACGCCATGGGAGTTGGCCGCGTGTCGTTTGGTCCGACCCTGGCCCTGCCTCCGCTGTCAGCAGCAGACCAGCCCCAGAAACTGCAGTGTTCTCTGCCCTACGTCAGGCCAACCCCTGCTGAAGGGTCCAGAAAACCAGATGTTCCTTGGGCGACTCCAGCCTGGCAAGTGCCCATCGGGTGGGGAATCGGTCACTGTGGTTCCTTATGCAGAGCCCGACGCCACCCCGGGTCGCTGGCTCCCTCGTGGCAGAAATACTGCAGATGGCAGAGCTCCCTGCTGGGGGGTCAGGGTGCTGAGGGGTGCAGCCTTTCCCTTCCTGGACAGCGCTGGGGGTGGGGAAGCTGGGAGAAACTGGGAAATCACATTCTCAAGGAAACAGCCTCCGTCTCCCCTGCACAGCTGAGCTTCTGTGACCTGCCCCTACAGCCACGGGCCGCTGGAGAACGCCACCATATGGGGAAGCACAGCACAGCACCGTTTACCTGTGCGTGGCTGCACCTGGGTTCTAAAAACCCACCTAAATCTACACTGGCTGCAGCATGTCACATCCCTGGGATCGCTGCTCTGTGCCCACCTGGTGGCCACAAACGCACCTGGGGAAGGGGGAGGGCTAGTGTGGGTTATGCTAAGCTACAACACTGTGGCTGTTCCAAGCTTCGGAGCCCACACGTCTGGGGCAGGGGCCAGGGCATCTAACCGGCCCTCCAAAGGTTTGTGGACACTGCAGTTAGACCCCCGTGGCCAGCTGACTTGGGCTCACAGGACATAGGCTAAGGGGCAATTAAATTGTGGTGCAGACATGCGGAGCTCGGAGACCCTCCTGTCTTGCAGGGCTCCCGCCCGAGCCCAGATGTCTACGCCACAGTTAAACAGCCCCTTCGCCCGAGCCCCACGAGTCAGCTAGCACAGGCCAGCCGTGGGTTTTTAATTGCAGCGTAGCCGTACCCTCTGACGCCCTGCTCAGGAGACTGTGGCTGATTCCTGGGGCTGGAGCTATTTTTAGTTGCGCTGGAGATTGAAACTCTACCCTGGTTCCTTGTGAAGGTGCACAGCCCACACTGCCCTGGGGATGTGGCTTGGCTGGTCTGCCAGAGCTGATGAGTAGCAGCCCGGAAGCTCGGTAAGGTGCAAATGCAGAGACAGGCCATTCTAACATGTCCCGTGCCCAGGGCCGGACGGGCTGACCCTGAGGCTGCTGGCCTGGTATTGCTCATGCTGAATTTCGCAGCAAGATGTTGAAATAAACCCAAAGGCAGCACTTCCTTTGGGGAGAGGCACCTCCTTTCCGCCCACGCGCACTCGGTATGGTAGCCTGAGCTCAGGAGGCCAGACCCCGCCGGGGGAGCCAGTGGGCTGCCGGCAGCCTGGCTTAGTGGCTGTCCCACTTGCACTTCGAGGAACTTCCTTTCTCACAACAAAAGTCCTAGAGATGACACCACCCGCCGTCCTGGAAAGTGCTGGGAGAGCGGGGGGGCTGGGAACCCCCATGCTCCAGCCTCATCCCAGCTTTGGAGCTGTTTCCTCCAGCAGCCCTGTGACTAGTTCGCGATGGAGCTGAGCGGGGCAGGGTGGGGGCAAGGACGTGAAGCTGACATCCCTCCAGTTTCACTTCAATGTCTCAGCAGAGGAGGAAAAACAACTTCCTGCGAGCAGCGGAAGGAAGCGACGCCAACGCAGGAGCAGGGACCCACCGCTGGTTCGACGCCAGCTGTTACACTGTTCACTGCGCTCACCACAACCCCCAGCGCTTAGCCACAGGTGTGTGGGACTTCAGCACATTAGAGGGCTACTAAGCAGCATGTCTTTCAGTTACTCGCTTGGTGGCGGCCCAGTTCGATGGCGGAGCTGAACCCGCTGACAGAGGGATTCCCGTGCTGACCCCCGCCCACACTTTCTCTGTGTTCTTTTAGTAGACTCTAACATGGTGCGCCCCAATCCTGTGGGTATTGAAACTCAAGGGTGCAGCGTTTGTCAGGCGGGTGAGCCTACATTCCTGAATCCTACACTGGAGACAGTGTGGGAGCACACCCATTGCTTGCAGGGGGGAGGGGGGGGCAAAGGGGAAGATGGTTAGACTAAAGGAATGGGCTTGTCCTGGTATTAAGATACTGTCTGGGTCTGTGCCAGAGACCTTGCCCAAGCCCTGGCTTTCCCAGCTGCACAGAAACAGGGTCCCGGTGAGTGAAGGGACAAGGATCTAGTTGCAGTCGTGCAACTTTCCAGGGGGTCGCACAAGGATCTAGTTGCAGTCGTGCAACTTTCCAGGGGGTCGCACAAGGATCTAGTTGCAGTCGTGCAACTTTCCAGGGGGTCGCACAAGGATCTAGTTGCAGTCGTGCAACTTTCCAGGGGGTCGCACAAGGATCTAGTTGCAGTCGTGCAACTTTCCAGGGGGTCGCACAAGGATCTAGTTGCAGTCGTGCAACTTTCCAGGGGGTCGCACAAGGATCTAGTTGCAGTCGTGCAACTTTCCAGGGGGTCGCACAAGGATCTAGTTGCAGTCGTGCAACTTTCCAGGGGGTCGCACAAGGATCTAGTTGCAGTCGTGCA